AGGACGCCGAGTGGATTTGGACTGCTGAGTGTCAGCAGGCCTTCGATGCAGTCAAGCGGGGCTTGACTGAGGCGCCGATCTTGGCGGATGCCGACCAAGATCGCCCATTCCACGTTGTGTGTCACGCATCCGACTTCGCAATCGGATGTGCGTTGATGCAGCACGATCACGAGGGCCTTGATCGTGTCGTCTACTACCAATCGCGTCAGCTGAAGCCAGCTGAGCGCAACTACCCGGTACATGACAAGGAGCTCCTTGCCATGAAGTACGCACTCGCGAAGTTCCGAGTGTATCTACTCGGAAGCAAACCGTTCGTGGTCTATACGGACCACGCGTCGCTGCGGACGGCTGTGAAGTCGCCGCATATCTCGCAACGGATGGCGAGATGGCTTTCATTCTTCGTAGAGTATAACTTCCGGGTTGATTATAAACCCGGAAGACTCAATGTGGTGGCCGACGCGCTCTCGCGTCGACCTGACTACGCCACGACTGATGCCGACGTCAATGCCATTGACGCCATGCGATCGAGCACCCCAATGTCGTCACTGTTGGTCGACGGGAAGGCCGCGCACGACGCGGACGCGAAGCTCTTGCTGGCATATGGCTCAGTACCTTCTGACAAAGCTCGTCAGAAGCTGCCGAAGCATCTTCGTGCTCGTGCACACCGTTATCGGGTGCACGATGGGTTATTACTCTACAGTGCAGTCGACGACAACGCGGACCGCGTTGTCGTGCCCAATGACCATGACCAGCGGCTCAGGATCTTGTATGGGTATCACGATGCACCGACTGCGGGGCATCCGGGCCGTGAGAAGACATACCTTCTTCTCACGCGGGACTTCTACTGGGCCCACCAGTATAAATGGGTGCGCAAGTACGTCCGTGCTTGCGAGGTTTGTCAACGTGTGAAGCCTGCGCCTTTCGCGCGGGCTCCCTTGCAGTCACTGCCGACTCCGTCGGAGTGTTGGCAGTCCATGTCTTTGGACTTCGTGTTCGGTCTTCCCCCGGACAGCCAGGGGAACACGGGCGTTGTGGTCTTTGCTGACCGCTTCAGCAAGATGGTACATCTTGCTGCGGTACCCGCTGAAGTGACTGCGAAACAGACGGCTCGTCTGTTCGTTGACATGGTGTTCAAACACCATGGCATGCCAATCGACATTGTGTCGGATCGAGATCCGCGCTTCACTGCACACCTTTGGCAAGAAGTGTTTACACTTCTTGGGAGTCAACTTTCGATGTCGACTGCGGACCATCCGCAGACGGACGGGCAGACCGAGCGCGTGAACCGCGTGCTCGTAGACGTGCTTAAGAGCTACGCTCACTCGTTCCAACACTGGAGCGACTGCCTGCCGATGGCGGAGTTCGCCATCAACAACTCGGTGCATGCCTCGACCAAGCATACACCGTTCTACGTGAATGCCATCAGGCACCCACGCCTCCCGAGTCTACTCGGGATGGTGGCTCCTTCCTTAAGTGGGGGGGGGATCTACGACTGCAACGCAGCAGCCGCAGAATGCCGCTGACACTTGCACAGTGTCAGCCGCAACTACGCGCAAGAAGAACAAGAAGCACGCGTCTGTGCAGGGCACAGACGCCGATAAGAGCAAGCAGAAGAAGAACGGGTCTGTGCAGGGCACAGACACCGCGAAGACCAACGCAGAGGCCGGGTCTACTGCTAGAAACGAGCTGAACTCGTTCAGCTCGGACGCAATCAACTTCGTGCAACGCAGACAAGCCGTCATTCGGTTTGTCCAAGACGCTATTGCAGCTTCTGTCGACTGACAGAAGCTGAACGCAGACAATGTTGGTAGGGGCAACACTAATGAATTCAAGAAGGATTCATTGGTTTTGTTAGCAACTCAAAACCTGCCTAAACCTGCGGTTTCCGACATTGGGGCGAGCAAGCTCGCTCCGCGCATTATCGGGCCGTTCACGTTGTTGGCACGACATGGAACGCCTACACGCTAGATACTCCATCTAGCATGCGCCTCCATCCGACCTTTTACGTCAGGCGGCTGAAGCCATACCGGCAGCACGAGCCACCTAGCTTGGCTGGCCCGAAGCGGAAGCCCCAGCGGAAGCGAACCTCCGCTCCAGCGCGTGAACACGTTGGGACGAGCGCACGACGCGACCTCCCACGTCGATAGAGATGTCCGACGCGCTCTGCGAGGCCTGATCAACTTGAGCTGTCAGGGTCGCCATCTCCTGCTTCAGAGCGGCGAACTCACGGCTCTGAAGCTGCTCCACAGCAGCGACTCGCTCCTCGAGGGTCGGGCCAAGGTCAATCCCAGGTTGATCATACCCGGGGCGTGTTCCCACCACCGCCGCCTCCGATCCGCGACGCCCGCGGGTCAACACGCTGGATTGTTGAGCGTATTGTGGACCATAGTATCCCGAAAACGAACCGGCAACCGGTTCGTTATCGTATTCGTTGGAGAGGATTTCCGCCCCACCAAGATACATGGGAGCCACGGGACGTCCTGCTGCAGGACGTTCCGGAAATGGTGAGGGCGTAGGAAGCTCACCACGCGCTGCCGACGCGAAGGTAGTGCGAGCGCTGTGGTCACCTACAGCGCCCGAGGTCCCACGATCGTCGCGTTCCTCGCGTGCCAAGAACTTGGCACGGAGATCCTTGAGACTCTCAGGTACACGAATCGTCGTGTACCCGTTTAGGTCGCGGTCGCTCAAGCGCACCCGCACCCGGAAGACACAACGTGCACTGATGGCCTTCGGGCACAGCGCATGGAATACCAGCGTCCACAGAGGATCTGTGGAGCTGCTCCAGCCTCCCGCGCGTCGAGAATGTCTCGAAGCGCTCACGGGCATGCTTAACCCGCTCACGGTAAGCAGCCGGCTTCTTGTTGAAGTTCTCAACAAAAGCATTCCAACTTTGACAAAGTGCCTGCCACTCAGGCACTTTGCTGCGAGAAGAGGTATTCTTGCTGGAGAAGTATCGGAGCTCCTGAAAGAGTCCGATATAGTAATCGCGCCTTTGATTCGTTAACGGATCAAAGTGCTGCTCCTCCGCCACAGCATCATCGTGGATCCCGCTGCATACGTACAGCGGGATTTCAGTTGGAGGCACGGTGTTGCCCACACGGTCTCCGATCTATGACGCAGACAGCATCCACGGATCGCGCGCTGCCTGAGCAGCGCGCGGAGAACTTGAAGACCCACCTCACGCGGGGAGCTTAAAGCCCCAGCAGCGGAGAGCGGAGTGTCGCTTTCGCCGCGCGAACGCTTCGAGCTTGAAGCGTCCGAATCGTCTCCTTCACGAGGGCGTCTCGACCCGGCATGCGGGTCGAGACTATCACTGTCGATAGACTCCTTGCGCTTGTTGGAAGAGGCCTCGCCCTCTTCCATCTCCACGTCATCATCCCCGTAGTCAACGGCGTCGTTGACTACAGAGGAACCTTCGAGGACAATCTCCGACTGGGTTGTCCCCGACGCGGCCTTTGCAGCGAGCGCATCGCGCTTTGCCTGCTGGCGCTCATGGTACTGAGCAACAGAGAGCTTACCCTCTGTTGGGGCGGCGGTCTTCTTCTGAGACGAGCTCATTGCGGAATGAGCTCGAGTTTTCTTTCTCCCAATGTGAAAAATTGACGAATGGTCAATTTCCCGATTAACGTGCCGTGACTCGGCGCGTCTAACCTTGAGGGGGGGATGGTGTAACAGGGTTACACACACAAGCGGCTACAGTCACTTGTAACTCTAACAGTCACGACGTCTGTTAGAGGTTCGAAAGACTTTCTCGACTTTGGTGTAGACACACCAAAGGCTGCATACATTTACGATCACCACGACGGGTGGTTCATCGAGACTTAGGATTCCTATTGGCTGAAAGCAGCATCTTTTAGCCAATGAGCGACATGCATAGCGTAGGAATGCTGCCAACCAGTCGTTGGCAGATTCCCAACTTAGAATATTACATTTAGAGGAAGTCAGAAACATAAAACAAAAATAGCAGTTCTCATTTTAACCCAAAAACATTATTTGGATCGTTTATTTAGATTAATCTATACTCGGAGGCCCGAGTTTAATAAACTACGCTACGCTTCCTCACACACTTGCGCGCACGTGTAAGCTAAAGTAGTGAGCGAAAGTAGGCCCATTACAAGATGCGTCCGGTCATGGCGATACCGTTTGCGCTCTAATTTACCGCCAACGAGCCATTGGCGCCATCGCTAGGGGCCGTATAGCCACTGGTGGTGGGCTGCTGGTGGGCAAGGCGAGAATCGGGACCGAGGCCTTCTGCACGGTTGCAGGCTGCGTGGGGTGGCTCAGCGGATGTGGCTGGCCATGGCGATACCATTTGCGCGCTAATTTACCACCAACGAGCCATTGGCGCCATCGCTAGAGGCCGTGTAGCCACTGGTGGTGGGCTGCTGGTGGCCAAGGCGAGAATCGGGACCGAGGCCTTCTGCACGGTTGCAGGCTGCGTGGGGTGGCTCAGCGGACGTGGCTAGCCATGGCGATACCATTTGCGCTCTAATTGACCGCCAACGAGCCATTGGCGCCATCGCTAGGGACCGTGTAGCCACTGGTGGTGGGCTGCTGGTGGCCAAGGCGAGAATCGGGACCGAGGCCTTCTGCACGGTTGCAGGCTGCGTGGGGTGGCTCAGCGGATGTGGCTGGCCATGGCGATACCATTTGCGCTCTAATTTACCACCAACGAGCCATTGGCGCCATCGCTAGAGGCCGTGTAGCCACTGGTGGTGGGCTGCTGGTGGCCAAGGCGAGAATCGGGACCGAGGCCTTCTGCACGGTTGCAGGCTGCGTGGGGTGGCTCAGCGGATGTGGCTGGCCATGGCGATACCATTTGCGCTCTAATTTACCACCAACGAGCCATTGGCGCCATCGCTAGAGGCCGTGTAGCCACTGGTGGTGGGCTGCTGGTGGCCAAGGCGAGAATCGGGACCGAGGCCTTCTGCACGGTTGCAGGCTGCGTGGGGTGGCTCAGCGGACGTGGCTGGCCATGACGATACCATTTGCGCTCTAATTTACCACCAACGAGCCATTGGCGCCATCGCTAGAGGCCGTGTAGCCACTGGTGGTGGGCTGCTGGTGGCCAAGGCGAGAATCGGGACCGAGGCCTTCTGCACGGTTGCAGGCTGCGTGGGGAGGCTCAGCGGATGTGGCTGGCCATGGCGATACCATTTGCGCTCTAATTTACCACCAACGAGCCATTGGCGCCATCGCTAGAGGCCGTGTAGCCACTGGTGGTGGGCTGCTGGTGGCCAAGGCGAGAATCGGGACCGAGGCCTTCTGCACGGTTGCAGGCTGCGTGGGGTGGCTCAGCGGACGTGGCTGGCCATGGCGATACCATTTGCGCTCTAATTTACCACCAACGAGCCATTGGCGCCATCGCTAGAGGCCGTGTAGCCACTGGTGGTGGGCTGCTGGTGGCCAAGGCGAGAATCGGGACCGAGGCCTTCTGCACGGTTGCAGGCTGCGTGGGGTGGCTCAGCGGATGTGGCTGGCCATGGCGATACCATTTGCGCTCTAATTTACCACCAACGAGCCATTGGCGCCATCGCTAGAGGCCGTGTAGCCACTGGTGGTGGGCTGCTGGTGGCCAAGGCGAGAATCGGGACCGAGGCCTTCTGCACGGTTGCAGGCTGCGTGGGGTGGCTCAGCGGATGTGGCTGGCCATGGCGATACCATTTGCGCACTAATTTACCACCAACGAGCCATTGGCGCCATCGCTAGAGGCCGTGTAGCCACTGGTGGTGGGCTGCTGGTGGGCAAGGCGAGAATCGGGACCGAGGCCTTCTGCACGGTTGCAGGCTGCGTGGGGTGGCTCAGCGGATGTGGCTGGCCATGGCGATACCATTTGCGCTCTAATTTACCACCAACGAGCCATTGGCGCCATCGCTAGAGGCCGTGTAGCCACTGGTGGTGGGCTGCTGGTGGCCAAGGCGAGAATCGGGACCGAGGCCTTCTGCACGGTTGCAGGCCGCGTGGGGTGGCTCAGCGGATGTGGCTGGCCATGGCGATACCATTTGCGCTCTAATTGACCGCCAACGAGCCATTGGCGCCATCGCTAGGGGCCGTGTAGCCACTGGTGGTGGGCTGCTGGTGGCCAAGGCGAGAATCGGGACCGAGGCCTTCTGCACGGTTGCAGGCTGCGTGGGGTGGCTCAGCGGATGTGGCTGGCCATGGCGATACCATTTGCGCACTAATTGACCGACAACGAGCCATTGGCGCCATCGCTAGGGGCCGTGTAGCCACTGGTGGTGGGCTGCTGGTGGGCAAGGCGAGAATCGGGACCGAGGCCTTCTGCACGGTTGCAGGCCGCGTGGGGTGGCTCAGCGGATGTGGCTGGCCATGGCGATACCATTTGCGCTCTAATTGACCGACAACGAGCCATTGGCGCCATCGCTAGGGGCCGTGTAGCCACTGGTGGTGGGCTGCTGGTGGGCAAGGCGAGAATCGGGACCGAGGCCTTCTGCACGGTTGCAGGCCGCGTGGGGTGGCTCAGCGGATGTGGCTGGCCATGGCGATACCATTTGCGCTCTAATTGACCGACAACGAGCCATTGGCGCCATCGCTAGGGGCCGTGTAGCCACTGGTGGTGGGCTGCTGGTGGGCAAGGCGAGAATCGGGACCGAGGCCTTCTGCACGGTTGCAGGCTGCGTGGGGTGGCTCAGCGGATGTGGCTGGCCATGGCGATACCATTTGCGCACTAATTGACCGACAACGAGCCATTGGCGCCATCGCTAGGGGCCGTGTAGCCACTGGTGGTGGGCTGCTGGTGGCCAAGGCGAGAATCGGGACCGAGGCCTTCTGCACGGTTGCAGGCCGCGTGGGGTGGCTCAGCGGATGTGGCTGGCCATGGCGATACCATTTGCGCTCTAATTTACCACCAACGAGCCATTGGCGCCATCGCTAGGGGCCGTGTAGCCACTGGTGGTGGGCTGCTGGTGGGCAAGGCGAGAATCGGGACCGAGGCCTTCTGCACGGTTGCAAGCCGCGTGGGGTGGCTCAGCGGATGTGGCTGGCCATGGCGATACCATTTGCGCACTAATTTACCACCAACGAGCCATTGGCGCCATCGCTAGGGGCCGTGTAGCCACTGGTGGTGGGCTGCTGGTGGGCAAGGCGAGAATCGGGACCGAGGCCTTCTGCACGGTTGCAGGCCGCGTGGGGTGGCTCAGCGGATGTGGCTGGCCATGGCGATACCATTTGCGCACTAATTGACCAACAACGAGCCATTGGCGCCATCGCTAGGGGCCGTGTAGCCACTGGTGGTGGGCTGCTGGTGGCCAAGGCGAGAATCGGGACCGAGGCCTTCTGCACGGTTGCAGGCCGCGTGGGGTGGCTCAGCGGATGTGGCTGGCCATGGCGATACCATTTGCGCACTAATTTACCACCAACGAGCCATTGGCGCCATCGCTAGAGGCCGTGTAGCCACTGGTGGTGGGCTGCTGGTGGCCAAGGCGAGAATCGGGACCGAGGCCTTCTGCACGGTTGCAGGCCGCGTGGGGTGGCTCAGCGGATGTGGCTGGCCATGGCGATACCATTTGCGCTCTAATTGACCGACAACGAGCCATTGGCGCCATCGCTAGAGGCCGTGTAGCCAGTGGTGGTGGGCTGCTGGTGGCCAAGGCGAGAATCGGGACCGAGGCCTTCTGCACGGTTGCAGGCTGCGTGGGGTGGCTCAGCGGACGTGGCTGGCCATGGCGATACCATTTGCGCTCTAATTTACCACCAACGAGCCATTGGCGCCATCGCTAGAGGCCGTGTAGCCACTGGTGGTGGGCTGCTGGTGGCCAAGGCGAGAATCGGGACCGAGGCCTTCTGCACGGTTGCAGGCTGCGTGGGGTGGCTCAGCGGACGTGGCTGGCCATGGCGATACCATTTGCGCTCTAATTTACCACCAACGAGCCATTGGCGCCATCGCTAGAGGCCGTGTAGCCACTGGTGGTGGGCTGCTGGTGGCCAAGGCGAGAATCGGGACCGAGGCCTTCTGCACGGTTGCAGGCCGCGTGGGGTGGCTCAGCGGATGTGGCTGGCCATGGCGATACCATTTGCGCTCTAATTTACCACCAACGAGCCATTGGCGCCATCGCTAAGGGCCGTGTAGCCACTGGTGGTGGGCTGCTGGTGGGCAAGGCGAGAATCGGGACCGAGGCCTTCTGCACGGTTGCAGGCCGCGTGGGGTGGCTCAGCGGATGTGGCTGGCCATGGCGATACCATTTGCGCTCTAATTTACCACCAACGAGCCATTGGCGCCATCGCTAGGGGCCGTGTAGCCACTGGTGGTGGGCTGCTGGTGGCCAAGGCGAGAATCGGGACCGAGGCCTTCTGCACGGTTGCAGGCTGCGTGGGGTGGCTCAGCGGATGTGGCTGGCCATGGCGATACCATTTGCGCTCTAATTTACCACCAACGAGCCATTGGCGCCATCGCTAAGGGCCGTGTAGCCACTGGTGGTGGGCTGCTGGTGGGCAAGGCGAGAATCGGGACCGAGGCCTTCTGCACGGTTGCAGGCCGCGTGGGGTGGCTCAGCGGATGTGGCTGGCCATGGCGATACCATTTGCGCTCTAATTTACCACCAACGAGCCATTGGCGCCATCGCTAGGGGCCGTGTAGCCACTGGTGGTGGGCTGCTGGTGGCCAAGGCGAGAATCGGGACCGAGGCCTTCTGCACGGTTGCAGGCTGCGTGGGGTGGCTCAGCGGATGTGGCTGGCCATGGCGATACCATTTGCGCTCTAATTGACCACCAACGAGCCATTGGCGCCATCGCTAGAGGCCGTGTAGCCACTGGTGGTGGGCTGCTGGTGGCCAAGGCGAGAATCGGGACCGAGGCCTTCTGCACGGTTGCAGGCCGCGTGGGGTGGCTCAGCGGATGTGGCTGGCCATGGCGATACCATTTGCGCTCTAATTTACCACCAACGAGCCATTGGCGCCATCGCTAGGGGCCGTGTAGCCACTGGTGGTGGGCTGCTGGTGGCCAAGGCGAGAATCGGGACCGAGGCCTTCTGCACGGTTGCAGGCCGCGTGGGGTGGCTCAGCGGATGTGGCTGGCCATGGCGATACCATTTGCGCACTAATTTACCACCAACGAGCCATTGGCGCCATCGCTAGAGGCCGTGTAGCCACTGGTGGTGGGCTGCTGGTGGCCAAGGCGAGAATCGGGACCGAGGCCTTCTGCACGGTTGCAGGCTGCGTGGGGTGGCTCAGCGGATGTGGCTGGCCATGGCGATACCATTTGCGCTCTAATTTACCACCAACGAGCCATTGGCGCCATCGCTAGGGGCCGTGTAGCCACTGGTGGTGGGCTGCTGGTGGGCAAGGCGAGAATCGGGACCGAGGCCTTCTGCACGGTTGCAGGCTGCGTGGGGTGGCTCAGCGGATGTGGCTGGCCATGGCGATACCATTTGCGCACTAATTTACCACCAACGAGCCAATGGCGCCATCGCTAGGGGCCGTGTAGCCACTGGTGGTGGGCTGCTGGTGGGCAAGGCGAGAATCGGGACCGAGGCCTTCTGCACGGTTGCAGGCTGCGTGGGGTGGCTCAGCGGATGTGGCTGGCCATGGCGATACCATTTGCGCACTAATTTACCACCAACGAGCCATTGGCGCCATCGCTAGAGGCCGTGTAGCCACTGGTGGTGGGCTGCTGGTGGCCAAGGCGAGAATCGGGACCGAGGCCTTCTGCACGGTTGCAGGCTGCGTGGGGTGGCTCAGCGGATGTGGCTGGCCATGGCGATACCATTTGCGCTCTAATTTACCACCAACGAGCCATTGGCGCCATCGCTAGAGGCCGTGTAGCCACTGGTGGTGGGCTGCTGGTGGCCAAGGCGAGAATCGGGACCGAGGCCTTCTGCACGGTTGCAGGCCGCGTGGGGTGGCTCAGCGGATGTGGCTGGCCATGGCGATACCATTTGCGCTCTAATTGACCGACAACGAGCCATTGGCGCCATCGCTAGAGGCCGTGTAGCCACTGGTGGTGGGCTGCTGGTGGCCAAGGCGAGAATCGGGACCGAGGCCTTCTGCACGGTTGCAGGCTGCGTGGGGTGGCTCAGCGGACGTGGCTGGCCATGGCGATACCATTTGCGCTCTAATTTACCACCAACGAGCCATTGGCGCCATCGCTAGAGGCCGTGTAGCCACTGGTGGTGGGCTGCTGGTGGCCAAGGCGAGAATCGGGACCGAGGCCTTCTGCACGGTTGCAGGCCGCGTGGGGTGGCTCAGCGGATGTGGCTGGCCATGGCGATACCATTTGCGCTCTAATTGACCGACAACGAGCCATTGGCGCCATCGCTAGAGGCCGTGTAGCCACTGGTGGTGGGCTGCTGGTGGCCAAGGCGAGAATCGGGACCGAGGCCTTCTGCACGGTTGCAGGCTGCGTGGGGTGGCTCAGCGGACGTGGCTGGCCATGGCGATACCATTTGCGCTCTAATTTACCACCAACGAGCCATTGGCGCCATCGCTAGAGGCCGTGTAGCCACTGGTGGTGGGCTGCTGGTGGCCAAGGCGAGAATCGGGACCGAGGCCTTCTGCACGGTTGCAGGCTGCGTGGGGTGGCTCAGCGGACGTGGCTGGCCATGGCGATACCATTTGCGCTCTAATTTACCACCAACGAGCCATTGGCGCCATCGCTAGAGGCCGTGTAGCCACTGGTGGTGGGCTGCTGGTGGCCAAGGCGAGAATCGGGACCGAGGCCTTCTGCACGGTTGCAGGCTGCGTGGGGTGGCTCAGCGGATGTGGCTGGCCATGGCGATACCATTTGCGCTCTAATTTACCACCAACGAGCCATTGGCGCCATCGCTAGAGGCCGTGTAGCCACTGGTGGTGGGCTGCTGGTGGCCAAGGCGAGAATCGGGACCGAGGCCTTCTGCACGGTTGCAGGCTGCGTGGGGTGGCTCAGCGGATGTGGCTGGCCATGGCGATACCATTTGCGCACTAATTGACCGACAACGAGCCATTGGCGCCATCGCTAGGGGCCGTGTAGCCACTGGTGGTGGGCTGCTGGTGGCCAAGGCGAGAATCGGGACCGAGGCCTTCTGCACGGTTGCAGGCCGCGTGGGGTGGCTTGGTGGACATGGCTAGCCGTGGCGATACTATTTGCGCTCTAATATACCGCTAACGATCCATGGGTACTGT